AATTGTACCATGTAGTAATTTTATATTTTGTCTTACTTGATAATAACAAATTGCCGTGTTAAAGGGGCACTGTGTAACTTTTCAGGCAAAGGGTCAGTTAACTGCTTGATTTGATTTATTTATGTCCACAGACAGCATGCAGCTCCACCAGACCAGGTCACAGGTCAGATCTGTGGATTGGTGACCCTGTTGGTGAGTTAAAAATGCATGTTTTTGAGCAATAAAACCTCCTAAAACTGAATAAATGCGAAGTAGATCAAGTTGTAAAGTTAAAGCCATACTGTGGAACATCACTGGCAATAAAACAGCAATTTTGTAGATTCCTGCCCACAGAAAATATATAAAGCTTCTTTTAAAACAAGACACTGTATTATGATTATGAATAGGTTTTGTGGTAGATCTTTGGGCTTTTTAATGGGAGCTGAGTTTGTGTAAGAGTTGTTCAAAAGACTTCTCTTCCTGAATATTCCTTTTAATAATTAAGAAGTCAGTATTATAACTGGAATTATTTTATTCAGTAGGAGGAATCATTCAAACCATTTTTACCCTTTGAAAAAGAAGAAGTGTAAATATAACTGTATTTCAATAAAATCACAAACTATCTCTTCTAAGAGCAATAATTTTTATTTGTACAAAACTCTTTTCCCTCCCTGTTCAACTAGACTGACCTTGTTTCTTCAAAATCTTTATTGAAGAATACTGAAAAAGTTAAAAGATTCAATAGACTAAATATAGATGCAAAATAAAGGCTCTATATTATGTGAAATGGACTTTTGAGCTTCAAGATGGAATATTTTTTCTCCTCAAAAACTTACATAAAGTTGTAATTTGTTTCATTCACACATGTTTGAGTAACCTTTTATGATTAGTTATTATATATTCTACATCTGATGTCATGAAGGAGTCATTTCCAAGTTAACAGCTACCATTTACCTTCTGTTCAGTAGAGATTGTCAATACCAGGGCTGAAATCCTCCAAATGATTCTAGTGAAGGTGTGTGGAGTTTAAAAACACAGTGGAGCACTTTCTTACCACATGACATCACAATGTGGAAGAGAGTGTTTTCTGTTTGAGAGAAGAACTCTGCCTAAATATGCAGGATCTGTGTGTTAAACATGTGTGGATGGGGGTCTGCAGCTTATTCTGACAACCCTTCATTACGACATGTCTCTATTTAGACGCCCCTTTTCCCACACTTTTTAGTTACGCTATTCTGACACATATCAGTGCAATACTGTAGCCAGGCTGGTGCCACCTAGTGCCTTCACTCAACTTCATTCTTCTCCAGCAACTAGGTCAGAAATCAGAATACAATAGACGGTTCGCAAAAACCCAACCCAAAACAATTGCAAGTTCGTACACCAGCCAATCAGCGAAGAGTCATATGCTCTGTGTTGTCAGTGATTCACGAGATCGAAGATTTAAAGCCGGAATAAAGATTATGTTTGGTGAATTTTATCAAGGGGAAAGATGTTATTGCGCTTCTTCCTACAGGATTTGGGAAAAGCTTAATATACCATTTATCCCCATTAGCAGCGCATTACATACGTCATGAGAAAATAGCAGCGATTAGTTAACAAAAAAAGTACCCGCGAACGAATCCTAATGCTGTGAGGTCAGACGGTTTCCACCAAGTGAAACAGTCTGATGAATCAGACTAGCAATACTGCCCTACAACAGCTGAACACTGTAACATCATGTTTGGTCAAATGAGTTCATGTCATTTTGTTTGTATTTGAGATCTCCTTTATCATGTGAATAAATATCCTGAAAAATACTGAGCTCACATTTGACCTTTGACCCTTATTTGTCACTTCCTGTATCTGAATTTTTACCAAAAATAAGGAGTTGTGCAAAAGGCAAAAGGCAGTAACTGTGTATGTTTTGTTTGTGATTTACTTCATAAATATATTTTATTTTAAAATCCAACCTCTTACCTTTTTGTTTTTGTTGCGGCCTTGGCACAGGGTCTTAACAAATTAAATAAATATACCTTTGTATGCAGTTATACTTAAATGATCTTTAATGTGAAAGTATTTCAAACAAACAACATGATGAGTAGACCTTGGCGAGTTGTTCTTATAATGGATGTAAGTGAAAATTTCCTTATTTCTGGCACATGATACAAAGGCAGTGTACTGGAACTGCCAAATAAGGGTCAAATATCAAATTTGAGCTCAATATTTTTCGTAAACAAATATTTCTTCATTATAGCAACAAGTTGTCAAATTTTGGGAGCCCTGCCTATTCTACTTTTGTCTGGACAAAACAGAAACTTTGAAGTCATTTCTCTCAGTTTCACACTGTGGTGAGTTAAGCTTTTTTGCCTTTGTAGGGCAGAATATTCTTACCTGACAACTACATGACCCTTACACAACATTTGTTTGGCTTTTTTTGCCATTAAGCACAAAAATGCACTGTTCAATGACCACTCAGCATTTCTACACCTGAGTCTGTGCTGCTGTGAATGTTGCACTCAGGCGATCACCAGTATTGTGGGTAACATGTCATTTTGTGTTTGAGTGAGTATAATAGGCCATCACATTAATGTTATTCATGTCAGGAAAATGGAAAAATGTTTGAAAAGTAGTCAAGTGCCACTATGCCAACAATGGAAAAAAAAAAGTCGAAGTACAGTAGTAGGAGGCTTGAAAAAGAATGTTTATGCTGCTACTCCAACAATGAGACGTCAGTGTCTAAATAGTGGCATGTCGGAATTAGGAATGGACATTACATTTTCTTAATCGATCGTCAGAAGAATTAACGATCGATTTTTGATGAATCTTTCATGTTTTTATATTAACATTATCATCATTAGTATTACCATTGCTACTTTACATTAAACTTTACAACATATAAACCATAACCAACTCTAGAGCCACATCAGCCCGTTTGACATTATAATGTGTTTAATGCAGCTTTGACACATTTGTTTACATTTTACAGAAATTCAACTTAAAACTGCATGGTTAATTTGCATAAACTATAAGCGCTGAAAAAAACCCCAGCTCTTTCCTTGTGCGCTGATGTGGTTCAGCTTCTGTCGGACTAAAGAACACGACTCAGTGGAATATATTTGTGTTCTCTCTGTGACAGAGGGGTGTTGATGATGATGATGATGGTGAGTCTGTGTGTGTGTCGTGTTGGAGATGGTTCATGTTTTCAGAAATCAGACATGTGCAGGTTTAGTGCAGCTCTTTATTTAACATCATTTCACTCACTTTATTTATGTTGGTCACTTTATTTATTTTGGCTCCTGTTGTGAAAAGACTGGGAAATGTTTCTTTTGGTCGCATGTGCACTCAACTTTATGCTGCAGTAAACGGGATACTGCGTTTACATGCACCATGACAAAGCCGGGATACTCCAAAAAACTCGATCATTGGTACAGTGATCTCCAAGGAGGTGCCAGAGCTCAAACGTGGGACTGTGAAGCCGAAACTTTAGTGTTTGTGCTGTCAGACGCAGCCTCACCTTACGCTACACACGACAACCTAGATTTGATTTGTCGATTAAAAATGAACATAATTGATGAAATTCTTAATCATACCCATTCCATGTCAGAATATGGGCCTGGTCAAGCAGAAGTAAACAGCAAGGACAAAAATTCAAGTTAATGCATCTGATATAAAAATGTATTGAACAGATACATATGTACTCTAGTTTATGAAACTGTTTACCTTTTTTCTCTACCATTTTTGGTTCTAAAGTTCCATATGTTTTAAACAGACCATGTATGAAACATGGAACAAAAATTATTTCCCAAATTTCAAATACCCAAAAATCATGTAAATAAATGGATGTGTTTCATCATCATATCTTGTGTTATTCCATCTTTGAACTGTTGATGAAGGTACATGATTTTTCCAAAAAAAATTTATTTAAAATGATAAAAATTTGCTTGGAAGGACTGACATATTTTTATAGAAATAGTTTCCTTTCATTTTGAAGTAATATTAAAGTATTCAGAAGAAAAAAGCGACAAATGATGTAAAATCCTGCACCTTCTACTTGTTTGCACAATTTTCCCTCCGTTACTTTTCCCTCCGTTACCATGACCTTTCTTAATAAAAAATCTCATTACTCAAAAAGTAAGAGGTTTTTCAACCTAATCTTGTACCATATGGTAGAAAACTATATGAAGCAAATATTCAAACCAGTTTGTTAAGGATATGTAAGTGAGAACCAAGAGTTATCACTGTTTGGATTTATTGCCCAAAAAGTGCTGCATATTTCATTCCCTCCGTTACCGACATGAGTTTTTTTTAATTTTTTGTCAACAACTTGAAAGAATATCACAGGTTTAACTTGACCCTGTTGGAGTGTAACTCTTTCCTACATTCTGATACTTTACTTATTTCAATAGTCCCTCTAGTTTCTGAATAAGAGACATTTGAATGTCAAAAATCTGCCCCTGTTTCCCTCCGTTACCACTTGACCAAACCCACAGCAGCATGTAACCGTGTGAATGAAACAAAACAAAACTCTGGGTATATTTGTGATGAGGAAAGAACCTTATAACATAGATCAGAAAACAGCGTATAACATTGACACTTTTAAATCCATAAAAAACTTGAACTTCACCAGTCCCTCCCTTTGCATGTTCGCGTGCGTGCGTGTGGCCGGGCGTCTCTCTCTTCTAATTTACAGACTTTCGACAAGATCCCAGCGCCAGATATCCTCACATGTGCTCACCGCCCCGAGCCAGAGTCAGCCCTGTGAAACATTTACTAGCCTCATGTGAGGAAATCTCCGAGGATTATCCCCAATAACCTGTTTAACGTAATCCTTATCCCCCACACATGAATAATAAAACCCCCTCCTCTCCTCCGCTCAGTGTTGTTGTGTTTCACTCGCTCTTCTCTTCTTTACCAACTCCTCTCTCACCTTACAGCCCCCTCCCCTTTGCCTTCCCTCTCTCCTCTCCTCCGTCTCACTCTCACTCCATCCTCTCCCAGCGACAACAGCGCGCCGGCTTCAGTTGCTTTCAGTTCCCCCTCTCTCTTCCTCAGACACACGCTCCACGCTGGGCTCTACGGCGGTTCTTCTTCTCGTCTTCTCCTCGCTCTGTTGTCGCGACCCCTCCTCTCCTCTCTCCTCTCTCCTCTCTCTCTCTTTTTCACTCTTCCTGGACCCGAGCGGACACACAAAAAAAATCCAAAAAAACAACAGGAAAAAGGAAATGGGCAGAGCTACAAGAGTGGAAGAGAGGAGTTGCGGTTTCAAAGTGGTCAGTTGAGGTTTGGTAGTTCTTGGATGCTGTTCCCAGAGTTTTGAGGAATTTCTTTTGAGCCTCGGGAAAGCTGTTTGGAATTACGGACTCCCTGAGAATCATCAAGAGAATTTAAAAATCATCAAGAATCGATAAAAGAATCAAATAAAATCGGGAATTTTTAACCAACAAACACCTTTTCAGCGCTTGACTTGAAACTTCAGGAACGTTTGGGATCCTCGCGTTGGTTTTGAGGGGGGGAGATCTCTGCGTAAATTGGGTAAACTGTACCCGGGGAAAGCGCGGAACACCTGCTGATCCCGCCGGGAGCTGACAGGCGCTGGAAGGAGCTGACAGGAGCGACCCAGCGCGACTGTACGGACTAGACATCGAAATCACCGGGACATTTCACCCTTTAATGAGCAACCAATCACCCACTGCTCGCTGCTGTCACGGTCTACCGAATTAACTGGAGTAACGCGCGGAGACATTAACACATCCCGAATTCTATTTGGAAGTGGTAAGTTGACTTTTATTTTACATTTTTACATTTTTTCCCCTTGCGTTAAAGGTCCAATATTACGCAAAATTGACTCTTGTGAGATTTAAAACCGCGTTAGAATGTTGCGATCTCCTCGAAAACAAACAAAAATTGCGTTTTGTTTCATTCACCCGTTTGAGTAACCCTTTTTTATTACTCTGTCTACATCTCGAAAGCTCAAAACGCTCAGTTCCACCTTGTGATGTCATGCAGTGTTAACATTTAAGAGCTACGTTTTACCTTTAGTTCAGTAAAGATTGAAAACTCCAGGGCTGAAATCGTCCAAATGATTCAGGTGAAGGTGTACGGAGTTTAAAAACACAGTGGAGCGCCTCTCGTATTAACACATGACATCACAAGGTGGAACGGCGTGTTTTCAGCTTGAGAAAAGAACTCTACTCTACTCTACATCTGCAGTGTTTGTGTGTTAAACGTGTGAGTCAAACAAAACGCAACTCTAGGTATGTTAATGAGGAAACAACATCAAGTAGAAAATCAGAAAATAGCGTAACACGGCCCTTTAAAGGATGTTGAAAGAGTTATTTAAGAGTGTTGAGATCATGAATAAAAATTTCCTCTTAATTGCGATGTAACCTAGATCCTGCCGACAACGCCTAGAGCTAATTTCGCAAAGTGAACCGTTCATAATATCTGATGAAGTGTCTCCCAGGCTGAGGGACTAGGTTCACAGATTTGACTAGAGATTTGAGTTGCAAAATTGCTGATTCTGTGCGCTGTGATAAAATGTCATACGTCAAGACGATGACAGGTGACCATTAAAGGGTCCGTGTGACGCTGTTTTCTGGTTTTAATGTCGTTTTCTCATCACAAACAAACCCGGAGTTGTGTTTTGTTTCATTCGCACACGTTTAACGCACAAATCCTGCTTATTTATTTTGAGTTCTTCCCTCAAACTGAAAACATTGTTCCACTTTGTGATGTCATGCGGTAATACAGGACGAGCTCTATTGTGTTTTTAAACTCCATGCATCTTCACTAGAATGATTTGGATGATTTTAGCCCTGAAAATTTGAAGTTTGTCTTTAAAATTTTTATTTTACAGTTTGTTCTATGATTATTTTTGCATTTTTTATATTATTGTCTGTCTGGAAACCTTAAAGTTTTGTGTTCTGTCCACTGTATTGTGTTGTAGTTTTGTATTGTATTGTGTTTTACTGAGGTTTTGTGTTTTTTTTTGGTCGCCCTTGAAAATGACGCACATCTCAAGAGGCACTTCAATAAAATAAAAATAAAAATAATAAAATAAAATAAAAATAATAAAGTAAATTAAAAATAAAATAAAATAATAAAGTAAATTCAAAATAAAATAAAAATAATAAAATAAATTCAAAATAAAATAAAAATAAAATAAAAATGAATTCACCCATCTTTACTGAACAAAAGGTAAAAGTAGCTGTTGACATCACAATGTGGAACAGAGCATTTTCAACTTTGGAGATGTACACAGACTAATAATACAGACTTACTCAAACATGTATGAGTGAAACAAAACTACTAAAAGCTAAAAGTATGTTTTTGAGAAGGTAACAGCATTATAACTCGACTCGAAGCTTTCCGGAGTCAATTTTGCGTAATATAGGACCTTAAAAATGATAGGATACCATGTGTGAGAAGATACAGGAGAAATATATACACATAGTCTGTATTTTTTTTGTCACTGCGGAGCTGTCAGGTTGACGTGAGGCTGGTGTGTGTATAAAGTATTGATAACAGCATTTATTATTTCCAAAGAGGGAGAGATCTGTGGCACCGTGACGTTTTGTCAGCTCCAGCGGCTGTGGTACGCTGGGCTCCTGTGGGTGTTTGCCTACAGATGATTACTGACTTCTCTTCTGCTGACAATATGCATTTTTTTTCCTCAAACAATCGAATATGTACATTTTAGATTGAGAAAAATGGAGCTGTCAATGTAAGATTTGACAGTTTATATTAAAGGTCCTATATCGCGCGTAATTGACTCTCGTGAGCTTCAAGCCATGTTAGAATATTCTTACCTCCTCAAAACAGACCTGGAGTTGTGTTTTATTTGTTTAAGTACCGTACTTTTGGGAGTATAAATCGCACCAGACAAAAAATGCGTAATGAAGAAAAAAACATATGAGTCGAAACCGGACTATGTCGCACTTTTTGGGGGAAATATATTTTATAAAATCAAAGACCAGGGGCCGACATTTCTTCTTGAAATGCAAGTTCAAGTAAAAACAATAGAACAGAGAACAACAGACTGTTAACGTCACATATGAACAGTTCTTCAGATAATTATAACATAAACAACAGAACAGAACAAGTTTAACCAAACTCTCCATCTCACTCCAAATCACTAAATCCATTCAATTCTTCATCCTCGGTGTCACTTCTGAGCAACTCCGTGACCTCCAGAAGTAAACAGAGCGCCACTTCCTCTTCTGTGTTGCTGTCGTCAGATTCAGCATCAGTTGAAGTTAGAATTATTCCAGCCTTTCTGAATCCCGACAGGATGGTTTCAGTGTCACTGAAGTACAGGCGTTGTCCATCCATCCAGTGACTTGATTGGTTGTCACAAGTTTCTCGCTCACTCCAAACATTCTTTCTGCTGCTCGATTTCCGTTTTCAGCTGCAGATTTCACAACTTGCAGCTTGTTTTTGTTTGTGTTCAGTCTTCTCAATCAGTGGTACAGAAGTAGGCTTTCAGACTTGCGAGGTCGTTTTTTTGCACATTTCCAATTAAATGTGACTTGTATGTGACTCCAGTGTGAACGTTAAACGGCCCGAAAGTGTCCCGCATGTGCACTGGAGACACGACGACGTCAACCGCAGCGAGCGTGCTCTGTGTTTACGGAAGTTGTCCAAACACGGACGCGAGCATTGAGCACCTGGAGATTTTAAAGTTCCTCTCGTACCAGAACTTACTTGTTTTAAGGAGGAAATTGAGAAGGAGAAGGACGAGGTTTTTGGCGTTTTGTGGGGCAGCGGCAGCGACGTCCGTTGAAAGGAACGTGTGGATGTGGAGACGGAGCCAAGAGTGGTGAGTGGTGATGTGCTTCGCTTCAGTGACACGGAGTTCATTAACAATTTTCGCCTACTTCAGCGCAGAATAGTGACGTTTGTGTCTTGTTGATAACGTGTAGGTCGGATGAATGCACTTTGGCCGTTCACACTGAAGTCGCATGTCAAAAGATCAGATATGTATCGGTTTCAGGAGCACATATCCAAGTGGCCTGGGTCACATTTGAAAAAATCTGATCTGTGTAGTTCAGACTGTCATTAAAAGATCAGATACAGGTCACATGGGGGCCAAAAAATTGGATTTGGGTCACATCAGGCTGCAGTCTGAACGTAGCTGTAAAGGTGCGATCGACTGACATTATACAAACAGGACAGAGGCTCTTTCTGCAGGAGACATGCGCAGTAGAGCCAAGTGACAGTGGTACAGGAGTATTACCGTGGATCTGTCTATACTAGAGCGCCCTCTTGTGGCTGTCAGTGTGAAAATTTTAATATATAAATCGCATCACAAGTCGCAGGAAACATCCAAACCATGAAAAAAGTGCGACTTATAGCTCGAAAAATACAATAGTCCTTTATTATTAGTCTGTTTACTTCTCCAAAGTTCAAAATAAATAAGTTATGAGCTACTGTACGTTTTCGCTTTAGTTCAGCAGAGATTTAGAGTAGTGTTTTCCGTCTGAGAGAAAAACGCAGCCTAAATGTGCAGAGTTTGTGTGTTAAACTTGTGTGAAGGGAACAAAACACAACTCCAGGTCTGTTTGTGATGAAGAAACATTAAAACATAGATCAGAAAATAATATGCGTAATATGGGCCCTTTAATTGTTTCACTTTTCATCACGAAAACGTTGATTCCTTTAGCTCCTTCTGGTTTATTTTGATTATTTCTTGTATGGAGACAGAGACCGTGTTAGAAATGCATACGCTCTGGCTTTATTATCAGTGAAAAGACAAAATGGAGCTTTCCATCTTCAGGCTTGTCATGATGTTGTGCAGAGCTGATGTGTTCACTGATCATTTGTTCTCAATGGGAAATCTAAATGATAAAGCGTAGTAGCCACATTAAGGTTAATTTAATCATTCTTAGACACATTGGAAAGATATATTTGGCAACGTGGCTTTATTGAAATGTCACAGAGCAGGGAACGGGCTCGTGAGCAGGTTCAGGTGTTAACAAAGCCAAGCACTGAAGCTTTGTAACGGTCTGATCTGTGTTATAATGTTGTTTTCTTATCAAAAACCTGAAAACACACTGAAAACACTCCACCTTGTGATGTCATGTGGTAATACAGGAAGGGCTCCACTGTGTTTCTAAACTCCATACACCTTCACTAGAATCATTTGGATCATTTTAGCACCAGGAATTGCCAATCTCTAATAAACAAAAGGTAAAAGGATCTGTTAAAAATACTGCCTCATGACATCACAAGGTGGAACACAGCATTCTGAGCTATCGAGAAGTTGACAGACTAATAATAAAGGATTACTCCAACACGTGTGAATGAAACAAAACACAACTCCAGGTCTGTTTTTGAGGCAGGTAACAACATATAACATGGCTCACATGAGTCAATTTTGCATAATATTGGACCTTTAAAGGCACACTATGTAACTTTTCGGTTGTAGTGTTGGTCATTTGTTGATATTATAGCTTGGCATGTCCCAAAAATACTTTGAAAAACATGTTTTCTTATCTGTTCGTCTCCATGGAGATAAATGACCCTTCAGCAAAAGGTTACATGTGCACCGTGCACCTGGGTGTGAAGAGTTTGTTCCTATTTTCAAATTCTAGAAAATGTTTTCGTATGAGTTTGAATTAAAGTGGACGGATTATAGCAGTGTTTGCCCAGAATCGTGTTTCTCAAAATGACCAGATTCAAGTCTAACCATGCATGTTAGGTAAAACAACTCAACTGTACTAAAGTCACACTGTGTCACTTTTTAACCAAAAATAGACTAAGATAATTTTGTA